TTTTTTTTTTCTTCCCCCATTTGCCTCAAGGAAGGCTCAAATTTCAGCCCTATTTGCAGTGATCACTGCTCTTGTTGTCATGCGTCTTTTCCTACCATCAAGAACCACAAAAGAGCCACGTGGTTCTCCGCAGCAAGCCTACCATTAGTACCAAAGGCCTTGATGCAATGTCACCATTGCTTCTTAGACCTTAGCTTCTTAGTAATATCTTATTTTGACTGCACAGGAAGACCATGTTAAACAATAATAAAGAGCCATGTCATCAACTAACCCACCATGCACTTTTTATGGGATGTGCTAACAATTTCTTCTCTTTCTACAGGGGAAGTACATGGATATCGAGTTTGACTTCAAAGGAGACCCCCTTGGTGGAGTCATCAGTAATTGTGAGTATAATTACAAGGTGGAAACCAAGGAGTATCCCTGTAATAGTGCCCAAGTAGAAATAAAGGAATAGTCCACCCCAAATCTGTCATTATTTATTCACCCTCATGTCGTTCCAAGCCCATATGCTGTTTAATTATGTCTAAAATACAAAAGTCTGAAAAATGTTCATGCAGCTTTTGTTCCATACAATAACATTGTGATGTGACTGTCAACCACCCAAATGTACAAAACAACCATTATAAAAGTAGTCAAAGTGACTTGTTTCATACACTATATTATTTAGTAATTTGAGTGAAATTGATCAAGAGTGAAAGTAAAGGGGGAAAAAATGGATCACGGTTTCTATTTATGGATAAGAACTGCATTCTTCAGAACATTCTTTAAAAGTTCTCATTTTGTGTTTTCTGAAGAAGAAGTCATGTGAGTGCAAAGACAACATGCAAGGGAGAATAAATGATGATAGAAGCTTCATTTTGGGCAACTTTTTTTTTTTTCTCGGAAAGAATTTTATACAAGTGGCTGTGTCTTTACTCTTGCTCCCAGCTGTGTGCTCTCAGAGAGGGTTTTGGGAAACTGCTGCATTTATTCACACACAAACCATCCAGAACATGTCCTTATTTTGTTGCACCATAGCAATGGTTCCTGTAATATGCCCCTGAGTCTGTCTCTCTGCAAATTCAAAGCCAGACCAGCAGTCTAGTTGGCTTGGCACACATGCTCTTGACTGTTGAAGCCAGTGGTCCATTTATCTAAATGTTTCCTCATGCATTTGATTCATGAATAGAAGGGGTCCTCAAATATGGCCCACGAGATCCACTTTCCTGCAGAGTTTAGCTCTAACCCTAATCAAACACACCTGCGCATGCTAATCAATGTCTTCAGGATCATTAGAAAATCACAGGTAGGTGAGTTTGATCAGGGTTGGAGCTAAACTCTGCAGCGCATTGGCCCTACAGGGCAAGATTTGAGGAACCCTGATGTATAGTGTTGAATTAATGGGTAGTTGAAACGTTGAGGAATGGTGACTTAAAATATGCACAATCTCTTAATACATTACTTTAAATTTCAACATCGAATTCAAGCCTCTTCTCCCACAGTAGTCCATTACTCCATTGCAAATGTATGTATGATTTCCCAATGTTGTTGACAACATTGAGAGTGCTTTTTTTGCATGTCAGCTAACCTATTAAATAATTACTGAAATAGCAGGCAATTTCTAAACTGTAGAAACATTTATCTGGTCAAAAATGTGATTGAACCACTATGACAAGTGACCTTAAAATCTTTAAATGGAAACAAAAGTGCTACCATTTGGCATGGAGAGATAATTAATCCCACAGCAACTTCCTCTAGCAGTTAACACAGTTTGTCCATTTGCTTATTGATTTGAGGAGGGTTTGTAACCTATATAGTACAGCAGTTCGAGTAACTAGTCGATCAGATAGTGTGCCACTATCCATGTGAGAATCGATCGGTCTCCCACTCTTAATGATGCTGATGTGATTTATCTACGGCACTCCATCGCATGCAGGGGAGTCACTAGACCTAATTGACAACATGACATGACAATTGACATTTCTTTTGTGCTAATATTTGGTTCAGCACAGAATTACTTCACTCGACAGTTACCCCTTCAGCTCAGATATAGAAACGCCTCTGCTTGGGTATATGAACACAGTGACTTTACTTGAGAACAGCAAGACCTTCACCTGTTTCCAGTTATCTTTTATTTTGACTCCACAAACATATACAGCCAAAGACACAGGAAGTGGGAGCAAAATGTTACTGTTTTTTCCCGATGTGTGATTGGAAGAGCTTTTAACAGTCCCACAGTTAAAACAATTCCCCCACAGTTTTTACTGAAGTCTGGGTAGAGTTGCACCAGCCATTCGTAAGTTCTGGAACACAAAGTAGTTGTAACTCTGTACTTAATTTGTTCTTAAGACAGAACGTAGCTATGCGTAGTTGCATAATGTGACATTTACCCTTAATGATCCAATAGCAGAGTAACTTATTTTGCCTCACATAACTAATGGTACAAATATTAATTTGAATTAATAAACTACACATTAACTAAATATTTACAGAAACCTCAGGGGTAACGGTTTGAATAGAACAGATTGCATCAATAAGCTCTTGTTTTATGTGACAGACTTCAATCCTTTAGACACTAATAAAGAGTAAAATAAGTATATTTATAAGTAAAGGACCAATCATTAAATACTGACACCAAAAAACTGACTTTTATTTGTTACGAGTTATTATGTTTGCATGCACAAGGCTGACCGATCTGCACAGAGGTACATTGTTTAGGTCGAATTTGTGTTGAAAAGCTGGTAACAAAGTTAATAAATTATTCACAATATCCTCAGCAATTTCATGTATGTCTAAAGTATTGAAGTCTGTCAGGTAAAAGAGGAGCTATTCAAGATGCAATTCAGTCAATCTGCTGGGGGGGGGGGGGTTCCCACCCGTTACTCCTGGTTGAAATTTCTGTAAATATTTTATCAATAAGTAGAGTTGCGTTTCAAGTTTAATGGTGCAACACAAAAATATTTAGTAGTGCATAAGTTGTAACTTACTTCCCCTTTACATCAAAACTAGGCTTAAGTTGAATTTACGCACAGCTGGTGCAGTTGGCCTCTGCTGTCTAAAATCAGTAGTTTAAACTGTTACAGCTTCATGTAGTCTGCACAATAGAATCTATTGTGAGTGCTTCAAAACAACCAAGTTGTATTTCCACAGACAGGCTATAACGGGATGCTACAGACAGCTCTGAAGCCTGAGGGCTTTCCTCCAAAGTAAGAAACAGTCTTAGAGTCATCTGATACAGCATCATTTTCCCCACTAGAAACTGTTTAGATGATTTGAACAAACAGACTTCATGCCCCAGAACTCTGTTCTTAAAACCTACTGAGCAGCCTAAACTTAAGGCATCATAGGCATGCTCCCAACATGAAGGCTATTGCTGATGATAGGTTGAAGCTTTATGCTGAGATATTTCAATTTAGCCTTATTCTAAGTCAGAAAATCCTGTGCAGAAAAAGGTAATCCCAGAATGCATTGGACCAAGCTGAGTGGAAAAAAGACATTCAAGATGGCAGATGAAGCAGTGTAAATGTTGTCATGTGGTAGACAGATGTGTTTAGCTGTTACAGTGCATCTTACAGTTTTTAAGACACTATCAAGTTAACCCTGTAAAGCCTGACCTATGATATAAGTCTATGCCTCAGATTCTATGATATGGTGAGAATATGGAGTGCATGATTGAGTAGAAAATACCTTAGTTTATCCAGAGGCTCAAAACGGAGCAAAAATATGCAAATTGGTGTAGTTTTTAATGCGTATATACCCAAAAAGTAAAATGGAAGTCTGATGGCTTGTAATGTGAATCACTACTTGCAAAAATGTCTAGCAAATGTTCAGTAAATGTTTGTATCAAAATATTTCTTATGTTAATAAAAAATCAGTAAAGGTCTCACAGCAAAAAGACACGTGAACCATGACCTGAAAGGGGTCATTTTTCAATTCAAGAGGCCTTTTACTTGATTTTGAAAAATAAATAAAATAAACTATCAATAAGATGACAAAAGACATGTAGTAGATTATGTACAACAGGTTTTTAGCACATTTGCGAATCAAATATGATTATTATAGGGTTCAAAACAGTTTTGCCACAAAGTGATGTTGGATTGAAAACAGTGGACCAAACAATAGACCAGATGAAGAATACTTATTTTAATATCATTAATTCAATATTTAAATATCAAACTTACTGAGACAGCAGATCACTGTTTATATTTGCAACAATGTATGGGAGAAAATCTCCTATAATGGCACATTCTGTTCAATTATCTTGCGCTACGTTTATATGCAAGTATTCGTCCTGTGAATGGCCACTTAGAAGGCAGCTGTCTAACCAGGCAGCTCATGGCAAGGCAGCTTGCTAGGTTTTTGAGTAAGTCAATTCAAAGCAATGCAGAAAAGAACGACTTCTAATGTTTGAGTGGAGGACCGAAGTCACTGGCCATTACTGGAGTTGTGTTAAAGCAATAACAAAGGTCTGCGAGTGTGCAGAAGGTGGAAGGTCAGAGTGGAGTCCCCTCAGGGCTGAAGTTTTCCTGCATTCCTCAGACTCGTCCTGCCTCAGACTCTACTCTTACACCAGACAGCATGATTTATCTCTGGAAGTTAAAGGAGAAGATTAGGGAAAAGAGAGACAAAGGATACTCCTTAGTGTTTGATTATTGTTGAGGTAGATTCCACAACAGGGGATCTTTAATGGGGCTATAAACTATTAATGAGCTTGTGGCCCACAGCCACTAAGCCACTGCTGTGACAGGCATCAGATAAAACAGGAAGTGACAACTGCTCATTGCCATCTTGCTTTTATAAATGAACCAAAAAAAGTAACATGGGCATTTTAGTTTCCTCCAATACAGAAGTTAAATTGAGTTATTTGATGATACATTGTCATTTAGGGCCTCATACTATAGAAGTAGACTTTTGATGGTATATTTTGAATATTCATACATTTATGCTAAAAGATTGACTAATGAATCATTTTAATTTATATGAGCCAATATACCAATACACAGTAATAAACAGCAATATTTACTTCTATGCATGCACTACCATATACAGTGGGTACGGAAAGTATTCAGACCCCCTTAAATTTTTCACTCTGTTATATTGCAGCCATTTGCTAAAATCATTTAATCATTATTTTGTTTCCTCATTAATGTACACACAGCACCCCATATTGACAGAAAAACACAGAATTGTTGACATTTTTGCAGATTTATTAAAAAAGAAACACTGAAATATCACATGGTCCTAAGTATTCAGACCCTTTGCTCAGTATTTAGTAGAAGCACCCTTTTGATCTAATACAGCCATGAGTCTTTTTGGGAAAGATGCAACAAGTTCATCTTGGAGGTGTGTTTGGGGTCGTTATCATGTTGGAATACTGCCCTGCGTCACAGTCTCTGAAGGGAGGGGATTATGCTCTGCTTCAGTATGTCACAGTACATGTTGGTACATGTTAGTCTGCTTGTCTTCAGCAAACTGTTTGCGGGCTTTCTTGTGCATCATCTTTAGAAGAGGCTTCCCTTCTGGGATGACTGCCATGCAGACCAATTTGATGCAGTGTCCGGCGTATGGTCTGAGCACTGACAGGCTGACCCCACCCCTTCAACCTCTGCAGCAATGCTGGCAGCACTCATACGTCTGTTTCCCAAACACAACCTCTGGATATGACGCTGAGCACGTGCACTCAACTTCTTTGGTCGACCATGGTGAGGCCTGTTCTGAGTGGAACCTGTCCTGTTAAACCGCTGTATGGTCTTGGCCACCGTGCTGCAGCTCAGTTTCAGGGTCTTGGCAATCTTCTTATAGCCTACGCCATCTTTATGTAGAGCAACAATTCTTTTTTTCAGATCCTCAGAGAGTTCTTTGCCATGAGGTGCTATGTTGAACTTCCAGTGACCAGTATGAGAGAGTGAGAGCGATAACACCAACTTTAACACACCTGCTCCCCATTCACACCCGAGACCTTGTGACACTAATGAGTCGCATGACATCGGGGAGAGAAAATGGCTAATTGGGCCCAATTTGGACATTTTCACTTAGGGGTGTACTCACTTTTGTGGCCAGCGGTTTAGACATTAATGGCTGTGTGTTGAGTTATTTTGAGGGGACAGCAAATTTACACTGTTATACAAGCTGTACACTCACTACTTTACATTATAGCAAAGTGTAATTTCTTCAGTGTTGTCACATGAAAAAATATAATAAAATATTTACAAAAATGTGAGGGGTGTACGTACTTCTGTGAGATACTGTATAAACTGTAACACCGTGTGTCCCAACCAGACACGACGCGATAAAAAGTATATTTTCCATGTAGTTTTTGTCCTAACCACCCGCGACAGCGACACGTGACAATAAGCGACATAGGATTGTATTTTTGGAACGGTTTTTATTTTCTGCAACGTCGCGGCAGCAGGAACAACATACAAAATATGACAGTAATAATCTCAGGTAATGATTATGTGCTTTATTCAATGTTAAAATTGTCTAATGTGAGTTTGAATATTTTGCGTTATCTTTATAGCCATAGTGAAAGCAACAACAGCCTATTTTACCTCAGATCTTGAAAATAAATGAAAGCAGACCTGTACGTTAAAACTGTGAACTCACTGCGAACCAACACGTGTATTCCATAACAAAGATATCAGTCACTCACTCAAAACTGTTCAGCCCATTCAGATTTTAATCATCTATTTTCCATGTCCACTTTTCTTTTCCACACACTTGCCATGTTTTTGCTGTCACATCGTATCTACACTGGACGCGACAAAGCATTGCAAATCATTTGAACGTTGTGTCAGTACGTTATAAATAGAACGACTCAGCAGTTTACTGTCGGCGATTTGTCGTGTCGCTCCGCATCCAAGACAGCATCACTGATTCCGAGTTCTATTGTATTTTATTGCGTCGCGCCGCTCGCGTAGACACGCGTAGATCGTGTAGACACGATGTAAGTTAATGTAGCTTTCTGATGCTGCGTTTGAATTTTCTTGCCACATTATTTGAAATTAGCACGGGCCAAACATTTTTCTCTCACGGGCCGGATGTGGCCCGTGGGCCGCCTATTGAGGAACCCTGTTCTATAGCCTTGACCTTGATGCCATTCCTGGCTCCTCAGTTCTCTCAGCCTAGCTGTGCCGATCCACACTAGGCAGGGATTGGTCAGTATGGTATGGGGGCGTGGGCATTCTCGTTCCCAAAGCATTCTCCGACTCAGTGAGAAGGGTATAACTGCAGCCTGGAGATCTCCAAATGGGGGCGGGAACTCCAAAACGGGGTGGGAGCTCCAAAATAGGGCGTGGCTTCCTCCCATTCACAGACAGTCACATGACACTCAAGCAAAATCCCCCCCCCCCCCAACCCACAAACCCCGCCCCC